CGAATTATGTGAGTGAGATGTACGGAAGCCCACATACGAATTATGTGAGTAAGCTGTATGGAAGCCTACGTATGAATTAGGTGAGTGAGATGTATGGAAGCCTACATACGAATAATGTGAGTGAGCAGTATGGAAGCCTACGTATGAATTATGTGAGTGAGATGTATGGAAGCCTACATACGAATTATGTGAATGAGCTGTATGGAAGCCTACGTATGAACTATGTGAGTGAGATGTATGGAAGCCTACATACGGATTATGTGAGTGAGATGTATGGAAGCCTACATACGATTTATGTGAGTGAGCTGAATGGAAACCTTCATACGAATCATGTGAGTATGTATACGTCTGTTTGGGTAGGCTGCGATTTATGGTTCGGTTAATGCGTTCATTCCGTCAACTTGCAGACGTTAGTTGTACAAAACGCGCTGCGGTGCAATGATGCGGGTAACACCTTAACACTCGCGAACGTTTTGCCACAGAGTCTTCGACTTTGAGCTAGAGCGGTGTTCGAGAGCGCACAAGAAGTTCTGTATCAGGAATATCTACTGGCGCCTGCTGGACGAATTCCGGGTGAGATATGGTAGGTAGCGCAGTAGGTAGGCTTAAACGATCTTTTATTGTCACAGACAGTTTTTAAGTAGAATATTTACATACACACACGTACACGTATACATACATATGCACAGACACGTACACAAACACAGACACAGACACAGACACAGACACAGACACAGACACAGACACAGACACAGACACAGACACAGACACATACACATACACATACACATACACATACACATACACATACACATACATATACATATACATATTTACATACACATACACATTTACATACACATACAAATACACATATACACACATATCTACACACACACACACACACACACACACACACATACATACCACGCACATACACATAAATACATGCATACACACGCTCACACACACACATATATATATATATATATATACATATACATCGGTATATTCATACACACACACTTACCAACAAACACACACGTATATATATAAATACATACACACACAGGTGTGGGCGACCTATTTGCAGCTGTGCTGTTAATGAGTCGCTGTATAGCCGGCCTTGATGAAGGGTCGGTGTCTATTGAGAGCTATTGGTATCTCATACACCATGCATCGAAAATGACCGAGGTACGTACACATGCACAGACTTGTTTGTGTATGATTGATGTATGTTTAATATCGTTTAATATTGTTTGTATATGTTTTAATGTACATTTAATATTGTTTGTATATGTTTTATGTACATTTAATATTGTTTGTACATGTTTGATGTACATTTAATATCGTTTGATATGTTATATGTACATGTAATATTGTTAGTATACTTTTTATTTACATTTAATATTGTTTGTATATGTTTTATGTACATTAAATATAGTATTTATAGGTTTGATGTACATTTAATTATACAATGTGAGGTATAATTTGATTGGAACACAGCCCGGATGTAAATGTTTGTTTATTATTTTAAAGAGAACACTGATTATGCTTGTTGAGGTTTTAACAGTATGAACACAGTCTAGAAGTCGTGTGACACATCGTACTGGTTGAATATGATATTTTGAACCC